TTTTTTTTTTTTTTTTTTTTTTTTTTTTTAGAAATAGGCACTTTCTAATCCTCCCTCCCCTTTTCTCTCTTTTTCCACGATGGTGACTTTCATAAACGTAATGGTAGTAACGTGAATGAATTACTGAATTTATACTGAAGTTGAGGTCGTTTTCCTTTATTCTCTCGAGAGTGAATCTTGCTTCTGAATCGGGGCCGATTTTGTTGCTTCCCCTCCGCCCTTCCCTCCGGAAGTGTCCGTGTCCTGGTTTTAACCAGGCAGACGCAGCAGAGGAGAATCAGGCTGCAGCTAAGTGTCTCTGTCATATTAATCTTTTGAGTAAATGAAGTGTTTTCAGTGGCTTCTTCGTTTCCCTTCCTCATACTTTGTCCTGTCGCCGCTTGGCGGCTCCCGTGCGGGACTGAAGCGGGAGTGGCCCCCGGTGGGGTCGCTCTCATTGCCGTGTGCCTCTGCTCTGTACTTGGTGTAGTTTGAATGGTAGCAGGGAGAAAATGGCTTTGTGATCGAGCTGGTGGGGAGAGGGAGGAGCCGCTTGAGGAGATGGAAACACTTTGCATTGTTCCTTGTAAGATCCCTTGCATGCATCTGTCTGTCCAAACCCAAGCTTACATTGTCCGCTTCTGAGAACTTACCAACCCAGAGATGTGGGGGAGGAAATGCTGCTTTAGCATATGATTCGTGCAACAAGCAGTGCTTGTCCCGGGAGCCTGGTCTGCATCTGAACTGTGGAATGTTCTTTCCTGGAGAGGAGGAGAATCCTATTTCAGGCTCAGCACGCCGTTTCGTGAAGAGTCAGGTGGTAAATATTTCAGGCTTTGTGGGCCAAGTGGTCTCTGCCATAGGTAATACATAAAGACGTGAGTGTGGCTGCGTTCCAGGAGACCTTCCCGTGGACGCTGAAATTGGACAGTTTTCACGTGTCGTGAGATTTTTTTTCCTGCTACATAAAAATGTACAAACTGTTCTTAGCCGGCAGGCCGTGCGGAAATAGTGGACCACATCCGGCTCATTAGCCTAGTCAATTTAGGAAGTGGTAGCAGCAGCAGGAGTGGAGTAGTTACTGCTCAGCATAGAAGACACTAGAATACATGAAACAGCAGTCATCTGCTGCAGCAGCATCACACGTGACAAACTCCCTAGTGATGCAGTTTTTAAAGCACTTGCTCAGTTCATTCTCATTTTAGGAATAAGTGTTTGAAGATAGCAGGCGTCATCAGAAATACGGATGGGTGCAGATTTCCAGAAATGGCCACGTGTGCTGAGTCTGTGTGTGTGTGTGTGTATGTGTGTGTGAGAGAGAGAGAGAGGCCGGCTGTGTTGTGAAGATGTCTTTTGGGGAGAGCCGTTGCCCGTTAATAAGGAGCACCCTGGGAGAAGAGCTGACTTGGCCTGCAGAGTTCCGAGCCATGTGCTTTGCTGCCTTGTGGCCTGGCTTTACTGGATTGTTCTGGGTTTTCTGGCAGGTTCCCTGTGGTCTGGCCAGCCCTGCTTCCCCCGTCTGTCACTGCTCGTGTTCAGGAGCTCGGCTGCTCCAAGAACAGGAGGACTGGGGACAGACAGGCCACGTTAATCTTTTGTAGACATCAAATGCTTATACCCAAATGAATCCTCTGCCTTCCCTTTGGCCCTGGCGCTCTCTCTCACGGGAAGCCCCCCTGTGGCAGGAAGAACTGGCCAAGCTGTTACCGCAGGGGTTGCCCTCTCCCCATGCTGCCAGCAGGGCATCCTGCCATCGGCGTTTTCGTGTGAATTTGCCACGTTAGGAACAAAATCCTCCGTGACGGACCTGGGAATTTTTCCTTTTGCTCCCGATCCAGCTGTGAAATTCCAGAAAATGGCTTTCTCATTTCCTAGTAACCACCCCTGTATAGGTGTTCAGGTCATTACCAAGTGCGTCTGACACTAAGGGATCACTGGGTGACCTCCCCC